CAATACAAACTTTGGAGAAAAAACTTGAAAAAAAAGTGCTTTTCCACATTTTTAAATGATCGTCATTGGCAAGTAATGCAACAAAGATTGAAAATGTCAACAGATTTTACTAATAGACCTACAAATCTCTGTGCAAAAGTAACATAATAATCCTGCTATCTTTCGGAATGATGACATTTCATATTTTGGCTTTCTTCATTTAGGTATTTCTTAAAAAAGGAGCGAGCCCTTCAATATGTCCTGTCCCAATGTCTTGCTACTATATGGCAAGGCAGGAAAGAACAAAGTATGTCATTGGGTATGTAGCCTACGTATGAGAAATAAATGTATAACATGCTCACATTTTACGAAGACTCTAGCCAATTGGCATGTAAAAACCAGGTCGCAAAATCGAATAATTACCCTGTTGAAAAAACCAACATATGCTGGTTAGGTATATTTTGAAGCATGGCTGCTGGTTTGAGCTGGTCCTAAGCAACTAGCTCCAGCTCATGAGCAGCTTAAACCAGCAGCCATGCTTCAAAACATACCTAACCAGCAGATGCTGGTTTTTTCAAGAGTATGAACAGAAAAATAAAATGTCCAAACAAGCAAGCAGTACAGTATAAAGGAATCTGTTTGAACTAAACCACAAAACGTCAGTTATATTTGAGCAATATCACACAACACAAGCAAGACTTCTGTTGCTCAGACGCAGGTAATCACAGCTGTGCTAATATTCAGGCTGATGTGAGTGCGATATTGCTGTATACAAGTCAATATTGAATAACTTGCATGATATTATACACTCTATTGTCAGTTTGTGTATTTTTTGCTCCCCGGTTCCAACGAAAATAGTTCTAAACGATGTCTAAGCAGAATCATCACTGAGCACAACAGTAGTTACAATGCGTAACAATGTAAGTTTTTTAAGATTTAAGTAAGATTCAAAATCATTCTGATTGTACACTTCTAATAAGGCTTCTGTTTGTAGCTTGTCAAAGTCTGTCAAATGTATATTAACCTATGTGCAGTGTGTGGCCTATCTTGTTGCCAACATTGGATAACATACACTTTCAGTAGCAGACAAATAAATACCTAAGCAGTATTTCATCAAAAGTAAAGTTTTCTGTCATTCCCATGTTATTCTTTTTTGTTGTGGTTGTAATATATCACCTTACTGGTTGATACGGTTCCTCTTGGCTTTTGAAAGCATTTAGATTGTCAACAAATGCACGTGTACAGCCATCCACCGAATGATGCGAGTATATTGACGACAGTGAATTTCACTCACATAACTGTAGGGGGCTCCAAAGTTGCAAAAAAAATAAAAAATCCAGAAGAACTGTGGCAACGTCTCCAAGATGCTTCAAGTACGGAGCCCCGCACATGGCATGTAGGAAAAAAATAGTAGGCTAAATCGTGCGCACGATTTACTATTTCGTTTCCTTGATTTATAAATTGTGCGCACGATTTACTAATTCGTTCCCTCGATTTGCTAAATCGTGCACATGATTTATAAATCGAGAGAACGAATTAGTCAATTGTGCACACGATTTAGCAAATCGAGGGAACAAATTAGTAAATCGTGCGCACAATTTATTTATTTTTTCTTGCATGTCATGTGCGGGGCTCCTTATTCAAGAAACCTGCCTGCAAAGCTTCCTGAAAAACTATGCACAAGTGCACCGAGGGCAAAAGCTGCTTTAAACACAAAGAATGCTCACACCAAATGTTGATTTAATTTAGTTAATAGAAGTTAATTGATAAAGAAAATCTATTTATGACATTATTTTAGACAGCATCCTACACAAGTGCGTAAAACTTTGAACAGTGCTGTAGCTTTGCAGGGAGGTTTCTTGAAGCGTCTTGGAGACGTTGTTCTCCACAGTTCTTCTGGATTGAGTCTGTCTCAGTTTGTTCTGTTTCTTCATGTCATTCCAGACAGACTGATGATGATCAGATCAGATCTCTGTGTGGAGCACTGGCTGCTGTCAGACAAAAATCTCTTACAATTAATGGCAAAATGAATGTTTGGAAATGTAAACTGATATTTATACTGACACACTACAGCAAAAGATAGAAATAACTGACTTCAAACTATTTTTAAGCTGGTGAAAATACTAGTGTTCTGATCATTTTGCCCACCACTGTAGCTAGTTCTACGTCGTGAATGAATCAGTGTTGCGAAGATTCAACTGAATGGTTCACTGATGAATGTAATCGCTTGTCGCCACCTACTGGCATAATGTTGTAACCTGCAGAAAGACTCACTGAAAAATCCCCACCACTAAAGCACAGACTGACAGTCTGTCTGGAATGAACAAACACAACAGTGTGATATAAACGGTGAAATGACCCAGTGCTTTTGGACTGCATAGTTGAATTCAGAAAAACATTCCATGGTATTTTTCACTATTTCTGCCATTTCTGTAAATGCAGAAATAGCAAGAATATGGAAGGCTGTTCTGACCAGATTTGAGAAATGGTAGGCTACTAACTGTTGTGTAATGTACGATGAGATCTGAAACGTAATGCATCCATATCAATATAATATAAAGTGCAAAACCACTGGGGCAAGTAAGAGTGAGCAAAAACTTACTGAGTGCACCCTTAAGGGAAAAAGGATCAGGATCCAGTTATTCAAAGACAACAGGTCACACAGGTTTTGTGGTCTACACAGTGGGAAAAACGTATCAAAGTTCAACAAAAATATCAGAGTTCACTGACTATTTGGAAATAAAATGGCCCTACAGAACAATCTGCCTGTTGTGGGTCAAGAACACGGCTGTAGTAAGAGTTTTCCTTTGTGTCCTGATTAGTGAAGGAGAAATCATCCTCATCTTAACCAAAATGATCAACTTTATCCTGGCACTAACCCCCTCAATGCCTACAAGAGACATTCAGACTCACAGCAAACTGGTGTATACCTCCATCTAGGGGACTAAACTCCTAAATACACTTTCTCTTCACACACACACACACACACACACACACACACACACACACACACACACACACACACACACACACACACACACTCAAAAAAACAAACTCTCTTCTCACCTCTCCCCT